AATGCTTAACATTTACTAAGTATTTCCTATGAATCAGGTACTGTTCAGAGCTCTTTAGTGTACTAGCTCATTTAAAATTCTAGTCAACCACGTCAAATAGATAAAAGTTGTAATCCCCATTTTAGAGATGTGGAAACCGAGGCATAGAGATGGTAATTAACTTGCCAAGGGCCTGCAGCTAGTAGGAGTGGCTGCAGGATTCTAACCCAGGCAGTCTGGCTGCATGCAGCCTCTGCTCCTACCTGTAATGCCCCGTTACTTCACAAATTACCTCACAGGGTGGTTGTGAGGATTAGATGAGATAATACATATAAAGTACTTAATCACACGGTGCCTCGGCACTTAGTAAAGTGACTAGTGGTAACTGCAATAGCAATAATTACTATGTGATTAGCGTTATGTTGAACTTCTCAGGAATCCTCACCAGATAGAATTCACCAATGCTCTCCCCATTTTACAGATGAGGAAGCTGAGGCCCAAAGCCACAGAGTCATCAGGTTGACAGAGACTGTGCTATGCCTTTTCCTGTAAAATGCAGTATAAGCCTAGGTAAAATGTTAGTGCCTGGAGCACGCTGGTGGGGCTTGACTCAGTTTTAATCGTGCCTGAGGACTAAGAGAAGACGGTGACTCCGTGGTGTGTTTGGCCAGCCTGAGAGTCTCTAGTGAATACAGGAACTTACTCTTTATGAACTGCACCTTTGGTGTGGTGAATAGCATTCCTGAAGATTAAGCAGCATTCACTGTCGTATGTTTGTCTTCTAGCCAAAGAGCCCTCCACGCAAATAACCGAGGAGGTGCGTGATCAGCTCCTGGAGGCCTCTGCTGCCACCAGGAAAGCCTTCACCACTTTCCGGAGGGAGGCCGACCCCGATGACCACTACCAGTCAGGGGAGGGCACCCAGGCCACCACAGACAAGACTAAGGACGACCTGGAGATGAGCGCTGTCATCACCATCATGCAGCCCATCCTCCGCTTCCTGCAGCTCCTGTGCGAAAACCATAACCGAGACCTGCAGGTGAGGCCTAGGAGGGGAGTCGGGGCGCGAGGGCCTGGCTTCCTCACAGCCGCTACAACTCACTCTCACGTTTCAGCTCTTCTCACTTCAACCCATTTCCTTGATCTGAGGGTTCAGGATGGTTCTCTGACATGAAAGTCTGGCAACTGATGTGCTTCTATATCTGTCTTCTCCAGTAGAGACCATATCTCTTCTGCTCACCAGCATAGTACCTGCTCCTTGTATATATATGTGTGTGTTAAATGGATGTGTATGTGTGACTATGTACGTGTGAGAGTCCCTGGGTGGTGCAAACGGTTGACGTGCTTGGCTGTTAACCAAAAGGTTGGAGGTTCACGTCCCCCCAGAGGCACCTCAGAAGAAAGGCCTGGCCATCTACTTCTGAAAAATCAGCCATCGAAAACCCTATGGAGCAGTTCTACTCTGAAACACTGGGTTGTCATGAGCTGCAATCGACTTAATGGCAACAACAGCAAAAAAAATACATGTATGTATCTTGAAGCCTACCATTGTCTGGCATATAGGTGTACCAGTAAAAATTTGAATGATGGATAGATAGATGATTAAATATGTTAGACTTAGAAACTCTGGTACATAGAAAGCTCTAATTAAATATTTGTTGGTTGAATGAAAGAAATGACCTTCTAGAGTTTTACACAAATAGATGTTCAAAAATATTTGCTGGACTAATTATTCTAGGAATCCTTTGGGCATTTTTTCTGTTGGATGATGATAACGATGGCTAACATTTATTGAACACTTAGGATCTTCCTAATACTAAATGTTGCTTCTATTATTATCCCTATCTTAGAGATGAGGAAACTGAGGTGCAGGGGCACACAGCCGCCTGGAACTTGACCCCAGGCAGTCTAATGCTGGAGCTAACCATTATGCCAAGACAGAGGGCATATTCTCCCTTGCAGAGTTTCCCAGCAGCAAAGGCTATTTAGGAAGGTCAGATCTGTGGAGGCCTTTCACTGCTCAGGAGAAGCATGTGAAAGTACTGAGTCCTTGTCCTTTGTCTGGTTTTGCTGCTGACTCTTAGACCTCAGGAAGCACCACTCTCTCCCTGAATGGTGTGAGGATGAAAGAAAAGAATAAAAGTGTGTCTGAACAACTCCTCTGGGGACTGAAATGTTTCCTCCTAAAATAAGCAAGCTGGTAGTGGTTGCTTTGTGTACTTGAGTCATGGTGATTCATGGCATGAAAGTTTTATAATAGAAAAAGGAAATAATTCTAGTCCAAACCTGGCAAGGGGAGCACAGCCTTTAAATATTTGCATTGGTGAATTTCTCCACCATGCGCTTGAGGGCCACCCCCAAATCCACTGTGTTCAGTGTTGCCACAGTCCATTGCTCTAACTTAAATCCTGCCACAGACCCTATAAGTAGATTAGGTGAGCAAGAAATTATATTGGCAAGGTTGTTAAACAGTAAGCTAGAACGAGGAGATGGATCTAGGTGAAATCTGCAATATTAATACCTTCTATGGCTGTTTTTATTTTTAATCAAATTGGTCTTAAGAGCCAGAATTTTAAAATAACATTTAGCTTTGAGATCATCCACTGGCCAAATCTAGCCCATATTTAAAAGTAACAGGATTTCACAGAAAACTCCAGCATTGGCCACACCGGACCACTGTGCTACATGGTCATGTGGCAGCATGTGCTGCCCCTCCAGACAGAGCTGTGCTCCTTCTCCACTCTGCTGCTTGATCCCTGTTGACATCTGACTTAGCAACTTAAAGTTTGAAGGTCCCATAAAGATTATCCAATTCAGTGGTTTTCAAACCTTTTTTTTTTTTTGGCCACAGAATTCTTTATTTGATTGTAGAATTCTTTATCTGGCGGTAGGGCTTTCCTTGTCAGTTGCTCAACCTTTCCTACTCGGGCTTAGAACTTCACAGCCCTAGATCCGTGTCCCCAGGACTGCATACCTCAGTTGGGCAGAGCAAAACACTCATGACCCAAAGGTTGAGGATTTGGTTATTCCCATTGGCTGTGTTTCTACTCTCTAACAGCATATCATGTCCCTGATGTTGTCTGACCCTTCTCCTTACATGTCACCACCAGTAGTCATGAAAGAAATGGAAGTGTGGATGACACCATGGGAAGCCAGACAATCCCACCTCCAGGAAAACAAAGCATGAGCAACTCAGTTCTGGCATCTCTATGGCTTGGGGCTATTACTGGGCTGATTGTGATGATCAGTATCATGTACTGTCCCCCTAAGCAGGTGATACTGGTCTCCACTAACCTTGGGCTCCCGAGGAAAAGTAGGTTGAGATGTTGCCTGTGCATGTGTATGTTCATTTAACCAGTATTGGTGAGTGCCTGCTCTGTGCCAGGTACTGGTGCTGATGGAGACCTCACCCTGCCCTCTCAGAGATGAGAGTCTTGGGCGAGGACCACTTGGGCAAACCAGGGATTGCAGTACAGCATAAGTAAATCTTTATATGGTGTGATCTTAGGGGCTTTGTGAGTTCAGAAGAGGGGAACCGACCTAGTGTACGGGGCTCAGGAATGCTTCTCAGAGGAGCTGACATCTCTGCCAAGTTCTGAACTAACCACACACTAGACTACTTTGAGTAGACTATCTCCGTGAATGTCCTAGGGGCAGTACTAAGGTGCTCGTTCCAAAAGGAGATCTTGTTTCATGCACCAGCCTATCTTCCATCTCTCCCTGACCTTCCCTTCTTCACCAACACACCTGAGTTCCACCACAGGGGAAGAGTAGGTGGAACTTGGAAGTCTTATTTGGAAGTCTTCATTATTTCAGTTTTGTACCTGAGATCTTCACAAAACTCTCCTTAGGACTAATGCCCTAAGAACCCCATGGGCAGAAGCACCTTTTAATTTGGCCCTTCCAAAATTCGGTTCTCGAATACGCTGCTCTGTGAAAAACAATGCTAGAGTGGGTTTAAGTATATTTATAGACCTAACAACTTAAAGTTTGAAGGTTTCATAAAGAGTATCCTATCACAGTGGTTTTCAAATTTTCTTTTGGCCACAGAATTCTTTATTTGACAACATCTAATGCAGAAATGTACTAAGTAAAGCAGATGAAAGCAAAGCTGCTCTGTCAGAGTACAGACTAGAGAGTACTAGAAATATAGGAGCTCCTAGGAGAGAGCCTTCCAGGGCACCCCCAAGGTTCTTCAGGGCCCAGCTAGAAAACCAATGATCTGGACCAATGGTTTACAAGGATGAAGATTAGTATCATCTTTTTTAAAAATCCTATTAAATATGACTCTCTAAGGCGGTGACCTACTCTAGTGAAATTATATTTGTAGGATTTCAGTTCTTAAAATGATGCTTTTAAGTGGGAGTAAAGTACTGTGACTTCCACTCTGTTAACAACGTTCCAGAACAGAGGGTTAATCACTGGGTCTGGGTTTCCTTGTAGATCCAAGAGAGGAAAAAAGGCATTCTCACAAGGAGAGAATTTTAGGTTCCCTGGTTTAAAAAAGGGAGTCTCTGAGTGGTGCAAATGGTTAAGCGCTGAACTACTAACTGAAAGATGGGCAGTTGGAACTGCTAACTGAAAGAGGCACCTCAGAAGAAAGGCCTGAGGATCTGTTTCCAAAAGATCACAATCATTGAAAACTCTAGGAAGCACAATTCTACCCTGACACACGTGGGGTCGCCATGAGTTGGAATCAACTCAGTGGCAACTGGTTTGGTTTTGGGTTGGTGTAAAGAAATGCAGAAAAGCTTAGAGAGAGATGGGATCCAGTCTCTTGTAGCAATGCTCTTTGGCTCTTGCCCAGAGTTTCTTGTCATATTTATGACTGTAACTTTCCTGTTAGTAAATATTCAGTAGAGATAATGCCACCAAGTTTGACTTTGTCAAACGGGCATTGCTGCCTTAAGCAAGCCTTGTTTGTAGTAATCAGAAACTTGATGGGAAGGACTATTCTTTAACCATTTTACGTGAGCCTTTTGAACCTTCACCTGCCTGAGAGGCTGGTTTTGCTTTTCCTCTGGTTAATGAATGCAAGTTCTGATCTCTCTCCACTGAAGTCTCCTTAAGCATAGACTTGAGGTCCTCTATGGAAGGCCTCAATTCCTTAATCCACCCATCTCAATTTGAGGTCTGGCCCTCCAAGAAAGGCCACGAAAAGAACAGGATTTCTCTCGCCTAGACAAGCCAGGGGTGGTGTGTGCTAAAAGTTAGTTCTCTCCTCTGAGTGTGTAAATAGTGGCTGTGTGCCTTCCAGTGAGTGGCATGCTTCTTTTTTGTAGAGGACAGGAGGAAGTGGATCTGAGTTAGAGAAGGGGAGACTCTGGGTAGACACAGGCAAAACTGTGAGATATGAGAGAGGCTTTCAAGAAAGGGCAGACAACCATCCTTCATGGGAAATTTGAAACATGTGTTCCTGGCCGGCTTTAATGACTTCTCAAGTTCCCTTCTCTCTATCTATTCCATTTGATTTAGATCCTTTCAATCAGTATTTATAAAGCACCTAATAGGTACCAGTCCCTACACTAGCTGCTGGGCACACAGTGGTGTGAGCGTAGACCTCAGGCATCAGTGCTCTGATCTCATGGAGTGAAGGTGGGTGTGGGAAGGGCCCGGGAGGGCTTCCTGAAAGAAGCAACTTTAACCACATCCTAAGGAAGAGGAGTTAATCAGGGTAGAGGTGGGAGGGAATGATGGGTAAATGGAATAGTGTGCCTGAAGGCCAGGAGACAAAAGAATGCCAAGCAGTTCATGCTGCCGAGCAGAGACGGGCATAATAGCGGCAATGGAGTTTGGGAGGCGGATGGGCCTTGAGAACTATGCTGTGAATCTCGGCCTTGGGCAGCCAGGTCCTCTTCATCCCTGCCCTCTTCCTGAAAGCTTCTCCATCACCCCTACATGGTGGGGGGCTTATTCAGGCCCTAACAGAGGGAACATCATCCCTCAGGAACTAGAACAAGATAGAAATGGCTGTGAAACTCTTCTATAGCTTCCTGTGGCCCTTGGAAAAATATTCAGTCCTCTTATGGAAGCCTGTTGTTGTGAGCTGTCATCTAGTCAGCTCTGACTCATGTTGACCTTATTACAACAGAATGAAACGTTGCTCGGTCCTATAGCATCCTCATTCTTGAGTCTATCCCAGTGTTTACTGTGCCACTCCACCTTACCGAGGGTTTCCCTTGCCCTCACTGGCCCTTTTCTTCACCAAACATGCTGTCCTCCTCCAGTGATTGATCCATCTTGATGACATGTCCAAAGCAAACAACTCAGACAATGTTCTGTTGTGGTCCATATGGTTTTCATTGGCTAATTTTCAGAAGCAGATCGCCAGGTCTTTTTTACTAGTCCCAAATCATCTGTCCTTCCTCCACCTCCCACTGGGACCAGAACAGTTGTTTAATTTTTAGACTTAGTAAGAAGGCTGAGCATAAGGGACTGAGGTTAAGTTGGAGGGATGACTAGTTTGATGATGAGTTAAGCATTAGACTTGGTTACCAATTTTTAATCTGTGCATTTATAAGTAATAAATATATATTCTTTCTATAAAGCTCAAATAACAAATAAGTATTTAGAGTCAAAAAGAATTGCCCCTCTCCCCATTCCTACCTCTCTACCCATAGAGAACCCTTGTTGGTTTGGACTGTATCCTTCCAGTCCTTTTTCTATATGTTTCGATGTTGGGATGGAAGCATTTGCTACTTGCTTTTTTTTTTTTTTTTTTTTTAACCTGTATGTCCTAGAGATCTTTCCATATGGGCACATTCAGCTGTACCTCAGTGTCTCCAATTTAACAATATTAAATAATATTGATATACCAGAATTTATTTAAACTACTCCCCAGTTGGTGGACATTTAGGTTGCTTCGAGTTCTTCACTGTTATAAATAGCACTGTAGTGAACATATTTGTACATACTTTGTGAATAGAAGTAAATATTTGGTAGAAGTGGAATTACCAGATCAAAGATTCTGTGTTTTATCTTCTGAGTATACCTTTCTGTAGTATCAATTTCTCTACAATAAATGTGTAACTTTTATAAGTGTGAGAAAAAGAATATTTGTAGCTAGTTTTTGCTTCTTTTTGAGAATAAGTTACTGTAGTCTCTGACAAAAATCTTCCCTTCATCAAGACAGACTGCTTTATGCAGCGGTTGAATGGGCTTTGTTTCTTCTGCTGGGAAGGACCTTGCTCCTGTGTCTCTTGTTAACATTAGAAGTTTACCTGAGGAACACATACCCGTGCACATGTGCACAGGTGCACGTGCATTTACTGACTCTTGCCCCTTCCTTTTTAATGGAAATGGCAGAACAAGATCATCCAGGTTGCAGCCACAATACTGGGTGTAAGCCACCCTAACCCTAAGCCAACCTATAACACCTCATTTTACCTCATTTTGCAGTGAACCGTCATCCCCAGTACTAGGCTTGGGCATTCAGCACCCAAACTACACCGTCATCTTTTAAACATACCCCTCCCCTTAGAAATGTCAAATACCTCTGAACTTAATCCCAGGAGGAGTGGGAAGGAGGCAGTAGGGGAGGGGGAGAGGGAGGGGGTAAGAGGTGAATGGAGAAATGAGAACTTGAAAATGCTGTAGGAGTCCGAAGTGCTTTCAGAGAGGACCCCTTCTCCACTACATCCCTATAAAACCACCCACTGCATCCCTGTAGAAGCACCTCATAGAGCAAGTCATAGTGCTGATGGCCATCACAGGAGACCGAGTCCACAGGCTGTACGCTCATGGGAGACCATGTTGGCTCTTCTGGTCTGTCAAACACAGCATCTCTCCGCATAATCACTGTTAGATCCAGGGCCCCCACCTGTATTGAGACTATCAAAATGGCAGGATGAATGACCTTTTTCTTCTTCTCTCTGTCTTTGCTTCTCCGACATGGGGACTGCCCAATTGCAGAACTTCCTTCGTTGCCAAAATAACAAGACCAACTATAACTTGGTATGTGAGACCCTGCAGTTTCTGGACTGTATTTGTGGAAGCACAACTGGAGGCCTTGGTCTTCTCGGACTGTATATAAATGAAAAGAATGTAGCACTGATCAATCAAACCCTGGAGAGTCTGACCGAGTACTGCCAAGGACCTTGCCATGAGAACCAGGTAATTCCATTTGTATTTTAAGGAGGAAAAAAATTATTTTGGAAATGTTTTTGGCAGAGGCTAGTTCAGAAGTTCAGAAGGCTAGTTCAACAAGCATCTGCCTGTTGCCCTAGGGAATAAATAGGACTTGAGACCTTTTTCCAGCAGTGGAGAAAGTGACATGGTGCTTATTATGCTTCAACATTTTACCAAAGGACTGGCATTGGAGGGGTTGTCTCTAGTAACCTTGCTTGGTTTGGTTTGGTTTGAATGTCCAATTCCAACTTGACTTCTAGAGATAGGTAATAAAGTGGAAATTAAAGTAGAACCCGGGACTGTGTTCTGTTGTAAATATTAAGAGAGACTCAAAAAGGGGCTACTTGAAAAAAGGGGATTTAAACCTAGCAAGAGAGAAAAAAGTTGCATCACATGAGACTGCTTGAAAGTAACATGAACGTGCATAAGAACGTGAAAAATAAAAGCATGAGAATATGTGTAGCTGAGATTTTAACACCATAGATGTTAAAATGACCAGTTATGACTCTGACCTCTTAAGAAGCATATTTTTGGGGTGGAACCTAATATTTCCTTTTCTTGACTAGAATCATTGCTTATCCATGGCATCTTTTGCAGACTTTGAGAGTTTTAGCATTGGAGCTAGGATGAGTATGATTTTGAACTCCAAGTTATAGCAAGGGAATAGACCAATATCTAAAATGGCCAGATCTATACCAGTGGCCAGGGAAGGTATGAGATGCTGTGTTATGCGGGAAGACAAACGCACTTAGAGAAGGATGGTTTACAAGAGAGAGAGCTCACTGTATATTAGGAACTTGGTCTGAGTTCTCTATGAATGTTCTATGAACATTTGGTTAGATCCATGTTCCTCTCCTTACGAGACAGATGGTGTAGTCCTCGTTAAAATGAAAAGGAACAAAAAAAATACAACAGGCTTAGAGAAGAAGGCTTTATCTGACATCTAAGTGAATTTCATTAAAACCTCAAGATTGCATTTCTGCCAGACAAAGGTCCATGGACGGGAACAGAGTGGAATGGACTCAGCTGCTAATGGGGATCTTACCTGGGGGCAGATGATTAATTTTGATATTGCATGAATTAAACAGGAAACTTGCTTTCCAAGCTTAAGCCTTAAGCAAAAGTATGAAATGAAAAGAAAAACGAGTGATGTAAAGAGAATGGAACACACCTTTAAAGGGGAAAACAGGGCCCAGAACCCAGTATCAGTCATACACTGTATTTTCCTTCAAGAACAAAAGCAGACTGTACCGCACTATTTGGATTAGACACGACCAATTTATCAGTTACAGTGCATGGGGACTTTCCTGCTGTTTGCTGTTAATTCTGAAACTAGAGATTTTCATCTGTCTTTTATTTTTACCACTTTCTCACGGAAAATCTGCAGCTCTCCCCTAGAGACATTACCAGGAGTGGCGAGCGTTGTGTTGAAATAGCAACTCTGCCTGTTGGCTTTTGACATCTGATTTATGACCCACACTTGTGTCAATGTCTTTGTGTGTCTGTTTGCTCAGAACTGCATAGCCACCCATGAATCCAACGGCATTGACATCATCACTGCCCTGATCCTCAATGACATCAATCCTTTGGGAAAGAAGAGGATGGACCTCGTATTAGAACTGAAGGCAAGTAGGAATTGAAAGCAAAAGACAGTAGCATTTGGAGTCACTTTTGTGTTTTGCCTCAGCACGTGACATGGTCAGTGTTGTGAAACCAGATATTAAAGACAATCCCGTTAACCTAAATGAGTGATCCAAGTTACAAGCTCTGACTAAAATTCAGAACCTCAGTCTTTCCCTTCCAAATAAGGGTCTTATGACAAGATAGCAGCTTTTCAATGTTAAGTCACATGGAATGAGGATGCATCACTCAAAACTGAGAAATGAGTTCACACAGCATCTAAGAACTAAGAGCGTTGATTCTGACAGCCACAGACAAAGAAATAATGGAAACTCCCATTTCCTCTGTGGTACCTGATTTCTCCCCCTTTGAGGAAAAGGGGTCAGTTGAAGAATAGTACATCTAAGCCTATCTAGGACAAAAAAAAAAAACAAAAAACTATTTGTACCTTATCCATTGTTGTTGTTTTATCTATTCTATTGCTGATTTATCAGAGGCCCTGGGTGGTACAAACCATTAATGTGCTTGGCTGCTAACTGAAAGGTTGGAGGTTCAAGTCTACCCAGAGGTGCCTCAAAAGAAAGGCCTGACAGTTCACTTCTGAAACATCAGTCATTGAAAACCCTGTGGAGCACAGTTCTACTCTGACACACATGGGGTTGCCAGAAGCAGGAATCAGCTCAACGACAACTGTTTTATTTTACTGGTTGAGATAGCAGAAGGGTGTTTATTAAATGTTGGTTTATAATGAGGAAAGTTACACTGGCCAAGAATGTGCCTGCCGGCTTCTGAGGAACTTCTTGGAATTTCATATAAATGAGGGACTACAGATGACTGATGTTGAAGCACCACTGACCTTGTGACTTCCTATAATACCAAAATGGTTTCATGGAGGGAAGTAGTAACTTTAGCTGCTAGGTTTACAAGCTGGCCTGTTGGGTATTTGAAAAGCTGATATCTTATTCTTTATGTTGATTTCCTTAATGTACCAGAAAACCCTCAGATCTATTTAGGGGTTCCAAAGATTCTCCAAGAACCTGAAGATTCCATTCTGGAGAACTGAACTTGCAACCCATCCTGATGTCTAAAGTGCATGTTGAAAAGGGTTAGCCTCACTGAGCACGTTTCCTTTTGAACTGTTCCCACATTGGGGCATGTTGAGACTCGTCCTCTAGCTCATACCCATATGCAGCTGTGAATGCTTTGTCATTGTCACGAAACGACTTAGAACTACAGGGTTTAGCCGAAAAGCTGGCCTGTATTTATTGCATGAAAGATGTCACAGGAAAGAAAGGTCATCGGGGAAGGTATTGAACAGAAGCCCACAAGAATTAGACAGTTATTTTTGTTTGTATTTAGTATTTAGAACTGAGAATTCAAACCAATAGTTGATTTGGGTATATGGGTTAAACGAAATTTTATGTTGCTGTTTTTAACTCCTTTTGATAAATTTTGTTTGAGACTTGACATGAACATCATTCCAGCTCATGAACCTGGGTACCATTCATTACCATGTGTGTCCTGTGAGAGTCTAAGATAAATGGGGAATATCATGTGCTCCTGGTCAGCATTTCAGTGACTTTCTTAGCTACATTTGCCTTATGTGGATTGCCATGGAAATTTCTTTCCAAGGGAAAGCCACCATTTGACAGCATAGCAACCTGATTGAACTGCTATGACCTATGCTTGGAGAGGAAAAAAATACCCACCCATCCCCCACCCAAAACAACAATAGCAATTTTCGAGTCCTACAGACAAACAAATGGGAACCCTGGTGCCACAATGGTTAAAGTGCTTGGCTGCTAACCGAAAAGTCAGTGGTACAAACCCACCAGCCACTCAGTGGGAGAAAGATGTGGCAGTCTGCAGCCTTGGAAACCCTGTGGGGCAGTTCTACTCTGTCCTGTCAGATTGCTATGAGTTGGAATCAACTCATCAGCAGTGGCATTGGGGTACAGACAAATAAGCATGCAAATTGTCATAGGCCCAGGACCTAAAATGAGGTCAGATCAAAAGAAATGCAGGGTATGGGCACATGAAAATGTTGAACATAACTAGAAATTATGGCTTGGCATACATACAGCACTCCTTGCGGTCACTTTTCTTAACTGATATTAGCCATATCCTCATTGTAATATTGACGGTTATAAGAGCTAACAGAAATGTTTTAAGACAGGGAGGAATGACCTCAATTGCCTGCCTTCACTGACCTGCAAGGCTGAACACCAGTGTTTGGTAACCACACCCACCCTGTAGGCACCATGAGTCTGTGTAGGACGTTCTTCCTGACCACTGTCATCACGAGGGTGACAACATACCACAAGCACCCGTGTTTAAATTTCCCTTTCCCGGCTCAGATTGGTGCCAAGTAACTTTAGGGAGAAACTATGCCCAAACAAATATGTGCCTCTTTGACCCGACTCAAAATCCCTGGGTGGTGCAAATGGTTACCGCGCTGGCTGCTAACCAAAAGGTTGGTAGTTCGAGTCCACCCGGAGGTACCTTGGAAGACAGCCCTGGGGATCTACTTCTGCAAAATCAGCCATTGAAAACCCTACGGAGCACAGCTCTACTCTGACACTCCTGGGGTCACCATGAGGCAGAATCGACTTAACAGCAACTGGCTTTTTGACTCAACTCAGATTCTGTAGACATGTTTCTGGGGTCTAAACTAGCACATTATTTCTTTGTCTGGTGAAAATGGCTTTGAAGGTACTTGACCATGGCTCTCCTATAGGACGAAGTGTCTGTGTGTTCAACCAGGAGGCAGCACTGGTATAAACTGGGCTCTTGTCTTCTTCCTGGTCACCCCAAGCAGCTGCTCTACATTCCTCCTCTCTTTGTTTGTCCAATTAGAACAATGCTTCCAAGTTGCTCCTGGCCATCATGGAGAGTAGGCACGACAGTGAGAATGCAGAAAGGATCCTCTATAACATGAGGCCAAAGGAACTGGTGAGTTGGATGACTGTGATCCCCTGATGGTGGTATCAATACCATTGGAGCGACATTTGTGGCAGAGCAGAAAATCTGCTTCCCTGAGAGCTTTCTTAAAGATTCCAAAAATCAGAATATAATGAGAGCATGGAATTTGGGCCTCTGACGAGGGTAGAGAATTGAGCCGTACATTCTGCCCTCTCCCTTCAGCACAAGCCACCTGGGGAAGCCTTCCTGTTACCCCCTTTCCTCTCGTGGTGGACAGTGTGCCAACAATGGTCAAGGGCAAGGACCTAGGAGCCCTGCCAACCTGAGTTCAAGTTCATAGCGCTGCCCCTTTTAGCTGTGTCCCCTTAGGCAGTCACCTGAACTCTCTAAGCTGCACTTTCCTTATCCGTAACAGGAAGATAATAATATTACCTAGCCCAGAGGATAGTTTGAAGACTAGATGAGAAAATTCATGTCAAGCCCTTAGCAGCAGTGCCGGCACATGATACACCCCTAGAGAAATACAGCACCTTTTCTTCTTATTCCTGCTTCTTTGCTGGTCTTTTTGCCACCTCTTTGTCCAGTGCTAAAGAAGTCACATTTCTTCTTGATGCCAATAGACTGGGCAGCAGAAGTGGGGTTTTTGGGTGCTCGTGATTTTTATTTTTAAGGAAAACACGATCTTGTTTATTTTTGAGGGGTGATATTCACAATTGGCTGCGATTTCCAGGTTGGAAGTTAGTGCTGCAAACTGTGAGACAAGTAGCTATCAGAGACAGTAAAACGAGTTGAGGACAGACTGTCTATTTGGACTTTTTCCCATGCAAATAAATAAACGGTAACTGACAGACATAAATGAGGGCATTAAAACTTTTCTGCCTCCCGGTGACCTAAATGTTCACTTGGGGCCGGGCTAAAGTCCCTTATTTATCCCTTTAAATAAAGTGAACAGCAAGCCCAGGTCTTTCATCTCTAAGGTCAGCCTGCAGTGGAAGTCCTCTCCAAGTTTACATAACGGCTTATGCAACTGGGGGCCAGGGGAAAAGGGGTTAGGATTTGTCACTCTTGAGTAGGGACCCCCTTTGGATTCCCACGAGTCAAGAACATGTCCACACCTATTCTGACCCATCTTGGGTGGGGGCATGTCAGCACCCAGTGCTGTGGGTGCCACTTGTTCCGGGGTTGCCCCCTTGTGGTTGGAGAACATCATTCCTGGCTCATGGGCAAGAGTCAAAGGCTTCCTGAAACAAACACCATTTTTAAGAATCCAAATAGCAGGAAAGCTCTAGTACCCAGAACCCAAGTATATGTGTGTGTATGTGTGTATTCTGGTCCCACCTTCTATGCAACTTTTCTGTGCGATTTGTTATTAGAACTGACAGGGAAACAAGCTCAGTGAGGATCTTGTCTCCCAAGTTATTTCCAGGGCCTGACGCGGTGTCTATACAGAAATCTTTGGCCCTCTGTGTGTTTGGTCATATGATGAGAAATAATGCAAAGTAATGGCCTTGTGGGAGTCCCTGGGAGGTGCAAATGGTTAACACACTTGGCTGCAAACTGAAAGGTTGGAGGTTTGAGTCCATCCACAGGCACCTTGGAAAAAAGGCCTGCCAGTCTACTTCTGAAAAGTGAACCATTGAAAACCCTGTGGAACACAGTTCTCCTCTGACATGCATGGGGTCGCCATGAGTTGGAATCAACTTGACAGCAACTGGTAGTGGCGATAATGACCTTGTGACAACACAGGATACCAAAATGCCTTCTGACTCATCAAAGAAAAATTACTAAGTTTTAGTAGTACTTTGGGGTGGGAGATATTTTGTTCTCAATTTTTGAAGGATGAAATCTTGAATGATATGTTCATTTAGTAAATACTGATGGAGCCCCTACTCTGTCCTGGGCATCGTGCTGGGCACTAGGGAGGGATGCAGGAGCAAGCAGGGAGCGGAGATCAATGGGAGCGCTAGGACAGGTCCAGAAATACCCAAAGGAATGAGCCCTAAGAGTGGGACAAGCCAAGTGTGTGAGTCCTCAGGGGGCAGCATCCTGCAGCTGTGAAGGGTAACAGAGTGGAGTTCAGATCCTAGCCACATGACTAGGAATGTCCCGTTACCTCTCTGAGTCTGTTTCCTTATCTACAAAAAACAGGACTAGTGATACCTCATCAAATGTTCATGAGCAGTACATTTTTTAAAAGGATATTAAAAGACTAAGCACAGTCCTTGATATATAGTAAGTGCTCGGTAAATGTTACTTGTTAGTGGTATTATTTTCCTGATGGAATGGGCTGTAGGGGATGGGGTAAATTTGGAATCATAGAAATAGCGTCACCAGCTATTCCTAAGAGCGAGGGGATTTCTTAGTAGTTTTTTTTTTTTTTTTTTTTTTTCTGAAATGGCATGAGTTGGGGATGGGGAGAGCTGGTGGGAAGAAATGTAAGAGAGAGGAAAAGTCTAGCCTCCAGCCTACATTTTTATCCCATTTTATCATTTCAAGGTACTTTTATATCCATTGCCCCCTTTTAAAGTAGAAGGGTATGGGCCAGCCACAGAATGTCTCTTGGTCTAGGTACAGCGAATGTGTCTCACTTCTCATGTCACTGGAGGTTGATAGGTAGTGACTGCCTGCAATAGTGTTGAGAAGGATTCTGAGGCTCGATCCAAGACTGATGAGCAGTGTCTGCTTCAAGAGGGGAGATTGATAGCGTGTGTGCCAGTCCTGTTTGGGTCTTCCTTGAAACAGGAGCTTTGTTTGCTTGGCCCTTTTTGCAGGTGGAAGTGATTAAGAAGGCCTACATGCAGGGTGAAGTGGAATTTGAGGATGGAGAAAACGGCGAGGATGGAGCTGCCTCCCCTCGGAACGTGGGGCACAACATCTACATATTAGCTCATCAGGTACGACCTCTCCCTGACATACCCCAGACATTGCTTACCTACAGGGCCCTACTTCCAAACTGGATGTGCCATTAAGCTTGCTTTTCCTTTAAGGTTTTAACCTAGGGCTGTTTGCATTCATGACAATGTGGCTCACAGGTACCATTGGCCACCCAGTATGCTGAGTTCCAGGATTTTTCCATTTTGCCACTGTGGTAGGGCCTTGTACTTGGAAATCCCCATATTTCTTAAAAGCCATCCACCACTGAGCAGTGACACTTAAATAATAGTTTATGGCTTTGTCTGGAGACAATTGAAAGACGTGTTGGGCTTTTCATAAATATTGACGAGTTATCTTAACTTCAGTTTCCTTGCTATCACATTTGGAAATCTTGGGAACTTGTCATTAAGACTTCTTTTTGTTTACCTTTTGGGGGATGTAGTAATACTTTGCGCCCTGGCACCAACATGTCATGTTTCATAATTCTCTTCCCAAGTGGCTGGGCTTTTGAAGATACTTCCTGTTTCTGGATGTTGATGTGCCTTTTCAGTTTTTCTGATGTGTATGGATAGCCTGCAACTCCACTGTTTGCTTTTCCTGTCCCTTCTACCTCTTTAAAAAAAATTTTTTTAAATGTTTTTCACCTCTTTTAAACTCAGTTATAGGAGCTAGATGTAAAACCATGATGGTATTGGCCCTGGAGTCCCTGGGTGGTGCAAAGGTTAACATGCTTGGCTGCTAACCAAAAGGTTGGAGGTTCAAGTCTACCCAGAAACACCTCAGAATAAAAGCCTGGTGATCTGCTTCTGAAAAATCAGCCATTGAAAACCCTATGGAGCACAGTTCTACTCTGACACACATGGGGTCTCCATGAGTCGTAGTTAGCTTGACAACTGGATTTTTCTTTTGGAGGGGGGTATTGACTCTGAGATTGGCAGTTCCTTACTATGGCGTAATGGTTGAAGAATATAAAACCATCTCCTACCCCTCCATTCCCAGCCTCTAGCCAGCTGAGAGGGTTTCTGAACACTCAGAATGGAGGCTTCAAGGGGCTGTGCAGAAAACCCCATAGCCCTCCTGCTTGGCTAAAGAAATCAGGGGCAAGCGGGACCTGGTGTGGCATGAGCTTTCCGTGCTGTTCTGCCAAGCTCCCAAAATAGCTGCTGTGCAAAGCACACCTTGATCAAGTATAGCAGCTTCCTACCACCTGTGCCCTTTTGCTTGCCGCTCTGCTGGCTATTGTGTATTTTTTTTTTTTTTAATCCCCAAAGTTAGAAAGGAGCTGTGTGTCCATTCTGCTGGCTATTGTGTATTTTTTATACTCCAAGTTAGAAAGGAGCTGTGTGCTCATGTTGCAAACAGACAGCGACTCCCCTGCTTTCTGTTCTTGGGTTCTAGCTGGCTCGGCATAACAAAGAACTCCAGACCATGCTGAAGCCTGGCGGTCAAGTGGACGGAGACGAAGCTCTGGAATTTTATGCTAAGCACACGGCACAGATAGAGGTAAAAGCACAGGAAGCGGGTGGGTAGCAGAGTTGAGACGTCGGGACCCAACTGTGCTGGAGCCTTAGTGTGCGACGCCCTGTGCTGGGGCTGGCATGCCTCCATCCATCAGATCAATGAAAGTGTTGCGAGCACCTACTGTATACCAGGTTCTGTGCTGGTGCTGACTATCCAGTGATGGTCAAGACAGTCATGGTTACTGCTTAGGGTCCAGCGCAGAGTCAGACATTGAACAGATCCACACCACTGTCATCCATTATGAATTCTGATAAGGCCAAGCAGGGCAAGAGGAAGGATTATAAGAAAGTCTAGCAGAGGGATGGGCTTTAGACTGTGGTGCTCAGGGAAACCTGTTAGGAAGAAATAACGTGTAAGCACAGATGTTAAGGAAAAATTGTGATCAAACAGGCAAAGTCTAGCGGGAAGAGGTTTTCAGACACAGAGAATAATGCAAGTGACAGCCCTGAGAGGGGACAGTGCTGGCTGAGGTTGAGGAGCTGAGACAAGGCCCATATGGCTGCAGTTTAGTGAGCAAGAGAGAGAGTGACAAAGATTAGGAAGGAAAGGTGGGCAGCCCTGGACCTTAGAGAATCTTGAAAACTGTCCTCAAAAGAAGTCTGGGCTTTGCCCAGTGACAACAGGGAATTGTCAAAGAGTTTTACATCGGGGAGTTACGTGCCTTTAAAAAAAATAAAATCACCAATCCTCAGTGAAATCAGTGATGTCATCTGTACTCTGCAGATGAGGAAACTCAGTATAAGGCTCAGAGAGGTTGTGTCATATGCTCAACTTATCAGTGGTGGAGGAGGAATTTTGATCCAGGTCTATTCGACCCCAAAGCCCGTGGGTCCATTTTATGTTACCGGTATTGTCTCTTAGCATCTGAGAGAACCCAGACTTCTCTCTCCAGGCTCTCGGCAGCTGGGGATGATGTTCTTTGTTTTGCCAATGAGGAAATACACAAGTTCAATATCAGCATTGGAGCAAAGGTTTTGAAGGACTACCAGACTCCTGGGCCTCATCTGACTTCTGCAGCCTCTGGAGAGGAAAAATAAAGAGAGGCTGTGCCCCACTGGAGCCCTGGTGGTGCAGTGGTTAAGAGCTCGGCTGCTAACCAAAAGGTCGGCAGTTCAAATCCACCAGCCACTCCTTGGAAACCCTATGGGGCAGTTCTACTCTGTCCTATAGGGTTGCTATGAGTCAGAATCAACTTGATGGCAGTGGATTTTATACCCTGATTGTACTACAACCTTAACCCTTTTGAAAGCTCTGCCCTCCAGGACTGTGACTCAGTACAGCATCCTAGAATTTGAACATTCCAGACCAGACTACCTCCTTATTGGGGAATGAGACAGCCTAGGAAGGGCATGGAGAAAACCTATGAGGTGTCCATCCCCAGGGCCCAACAAAGCTAGTTTAAAGAACAGTGCTATGCGAGAGTTAAATGGGCATATAGATTCATGTATCTTACATTTTAGATGCTATGACAAATAAGAGGTAGAAGTTTATGGCAACTGGGTAAGCTAGAGTTCTCATTATAAAGTTCTTATCTAGGAGAAATAAACCCAATTCTTCGATCTGAAAAAAGATCTTAGGTGAGGTTTGTACCCCTGCCTAGATCTACACTGTCCAATATGGTAGCCAGTAGCCATGTGTGTCTATTTAAATTAATTAAAATTAAATAAAAGTAAATATTCAGTTCTCTAGTCACACTAGCCACACGACAAGTGCTCAATAGCCACATGTGTCTAGTGGCTACCATGTTGGACAGCTCAGACACAGAACATTCCATCATTACAGAAAGGTCTACTGGACAACTATAGCCTAGTGTCTCATCTAAATAAGCGCACAAGAACACAATTTAAATTGCTCCAGATGAAAATTAGTCACATTGAGATGAATGGATTTGAGGTTAGAAAAATACTCTTACAGACTTACCAAAACCATTTTTTTATATGACTCTAAGAGACACAGCACAATGTGGGATTATAAAATCAGAGAAGACTCAGGAGCAGGTCTGTATTACCAGTATACTCAATCTTGAACACTGAGACTGTGGCCAAAAGCCAAGTAGTCCTAGTAAAAGTTTTTTGAAGATGATTGTTGAATCTCATCCATTTTTTCACCCTAGATTGTCCGATTAGACAGAACAATGGAGCAGATCGTCTTCCCAGTACCCAGCATATGTGAATTCCTAACCAAAGAGTCCAAGCTACGAATATACTACACTACAGAGAGGGACGAGCAGGGCAGCAAAATCAATGATTTCTTCCTGCGGTCTGAAGACCTCTTCAACGAAATGAATTGGCAAAAGAAACTGAGAGGTGGGTCAGCAACACATGAACAGTGTTACAGAGAGGAGGTGTCGAAGGCATGTCCTTCTGGGGTTTCACCATACAAAGCCTGGGCTTGGTGGTACATTTATCTTCAAGCAAGAACAAGGCTGATGTAATTTATGCTTTCCACCTCTGACCACCAGGAAGCTCTAGACACTTTGGTGGTTGATCAGTGAACTCCAGCCCAAGGGTGGCAACTCCCTTGAAAATGTTCCTTCATGCAGCATTTCACTTTATTGAATTGGATAAAAGGAACAAGGGGACAGGGGAAGACCAGGCCCTTGAACTCAGAGGATGAGGCACTTAAGCAGGAAACTCAGATGGCTTGATTGCTCATTTAATAGCACACCTGCTCAGGAGACTCTGGTATTTCCCCTTTTAAGGGTATCTCGGTTTGCAGACTCCAGTATCATTTTATAGGTGGTGAACTCATTTGCCACAGAAGATGTATCGTGGCTCACCAGCAAGTCCCATTGAGAAGCCCAGCCAGTCAGGGTGAAATTACTCATCTAAAACATTTTTACGGGACTTCCCCAGAGGGCTTCTCAGCTCCTGGTTTTCATTAGGGTTTTAATGAGATCCTTCAGTCCCAACAGTATGCTTGGCACCGGCTCTTGTGACCAACTTAAATAGGATCGCGCTTGATTTCTGTTAGGCAGGAGTCAGGCTTCTATTTGAAACCCTGGACTCCACTACAGTAGGGATCTTCCAGGCTCTTTCTGTGGGGTGGGGCTGGAGTGAGGGGAAGCTGGCTTGGAGGTCCATTTTTAGGTCTAGGAGCTTCTGTCTTCTCCCTCATCCCACCTACCTGAGCGGGAACAGATCGGCCTCTTGTGATGATTTTCTAGTTCTTCACTTTCCCACCTTCCTGCAACTCTTGATTCGGCTTATGGCAGAGAGGGCAGTGCGATCGGATTTGCAAGAAGTCCTGTTCCCATCTCACTGCACCCCACCCACACACCATTCTCTCTTATCTCTAAGGAGCACCTCATTGTCCAGCATCTTCAGACTTTACTCAGTGTCTTGCTGGGCCATACATTCCTTACCCGGTTCCATGTTTGGCACCTGACAGAGGGGCCTGGGGCCTTTCGCAGGACACATGAGTGTCTTCCTTGTATGGACTCCAGAAGACGTAGGGTATGATTTCACCCCACATCATGTGTCTTCATAGATTACTTCGGGCTTCATCTAAAACTCTTCCAGCTCAATCATCATGATTAATGTTGAACTTTTATACAGCACCCTGCTAGGGCAATAAGAGAAAAAAGATACAAATAAAATGGTAGATGTAGACCCTACCCATTTTGTACTCTTATATTTCCAGCAATTACATGAAATAGAAAAGAACTTCCTTTTATTTGTTGCTTTCAGCCTTCACTGGTATATTCCATAAATCCAGTTTGGGGGGATATCTTGAATTCACTTATCTAAAACTCCATGATAGTTATTGAAACTGTAATTTTATCCTTTCCAATGTATGAGTCTACTAAGACTGGTCAGATATATTTACTCTGTAAGAATTGTGTTGTCAAATATGTATGTGTATAAGCTCTCCAAGAAGCTTACGAACCAACAGAAAATTCCTCACCTGTTATGGTGAGGTAGATATCTCGTCTTCCCTTTTTCTGAGATGTTGTAGGAAGACCTCAGACCCAAGAGATGGGGATTCTATTCTGCTTCTGCCACCCACTGGCCCTTTGGCCTTGGGCAAATGACTTAACCATCCCTAGCCCCTCACATAGAAAGTGGGAATCAAGATAACCTTATTAATTGATTTATTCCAGTATGGCCATCTGATTATTTCAAGATTTATATTGCATGGTAGCAAATATTTCCTCTTATTTTAGTCTTTTTTTTTTTTTTAATAGTTTTTGTTTCAGTGAAGCTTAAACACAACTATAGTTGTCAACTGAAAGATTTTAATTGGCTTCAAAGCTACCTGCTGGTAAGAGAGAAATTGAAAATAACTAGATTAAACATGATTTGCATATATAGAGGGAGGGAAGAAATGTACTCATTAGAAGTGCAATTGTAATAAAATGGGCTTTTCCTCGCTAAGAAGCTTATTTATCTTCTAATAAGTCTGCATAAAAGATCCTCCTGGCTTATTTGTTTAGCTGCTTTACCTTTTCCTGAATGTATCACTGGAAGATAACCTGTGCTTGGGTAAACCTGTAGCTACAGCTCAGACACAAAGTGTGATCTGTCTGAGACTGAAGTTGCTTAGTTTTTTCTTCTGCAGGTACTAACATACCCAATTGCTGTCCTCTTCGGAAACCCTCCTCCTGCTCTACTCACATCACACAGGCATGCACACCCACATGCCACACACACACACACACACACACACACATAGACACACCCCACACACATATGTGCACACCCCCCACACACACATACACCCCCACACACAGACACACACACCCCACACACGTGTGCACACACATACACACCCCACACACACACCCCACACACACAGACACACACCCCACACACACATATGTGCACACACATACACCCCCCCCACAGACACACACACCCCACACACATATGTGCACACACATACACACACACCTCACCCTCTTCTGTGCTTTCACATAATTTCTCTGACCCAGCCTGACATCCTTTCCTCGAGATCCTAGCCCCAGTGAAGCGAAAGCTCAGGGCTAGGAAAACTAGAAGGTAGTAAAAGAGGAAATTGAGGCAGGGTTGCATATGCTGCCACTTTCTTTCTTGGGGTTTTCCCTTGTGAATGTCACACTTGCCAGAATGGAGCCGGGAAATTCTGCTGCTGTATAGATACATGGAATACAAGTCATCAAAGCAAGGTCCAGTTCCTTTAAAAAACAAACAAATGAAACTGGGAAAGAGTGTTCCCTAGAGACATCCTGGGTTGCAGTTATTTAAATTGCCCTGCCTGTCTGGGATCGTGGCACCTCTGTGGTTTTGCTGTGATGTAGAAGCATCAGTAGAGCCAACCAACTTTTAACCGTTAATGGTTTGAGTCTTCCCTCAGGCACCTCAAAGGAAAGGCCTGGTGTTCTACTTCCAAAAGATCAGCCATTGAAAACCTTGTGGAGCTCAGTTCTACTCTGACAAACATGGGGTTGCCATGAGTCAGAATCAACTCAACAGCAACTGGTTGTTTAAATAGAAAACATGCTACAAGGTAGAGTGGGGAATTCAACAATGTGTAAGCTAAGATTCCTTCCTGCAGGAACTTACCATCTGATGGGGGCAGGCCACACAGGCATATTTTTAAATGGCTGTAATGCAAAGCAGATTCTGACAGGGGCTGCAATTGAGCAAGAACCCATTGTGGTTTATGTACAATTTGTTGAATGAAAAACTAATTTGCTCTGTAAGCTTTCCATAAAACACAATAAAATATTAAAAAAAAAAAAAAGAAGAAGAACACATTGTGGGAGTACGGGAAAGGAAGGCCTCCTAGAAAATGTAGGGTGTGAACAGTGCTGAGAAGGACAGATAGAACTTGGACAAACACAAGCCTGAGAGACTGGAGGAGGGATGATGTATTAGCTTTTTATTGCTGCTGTAACAAATTACCACAAACTTGGTGGTTTAAAATAACATATATTCATTATGTTATGTCTGAAATGATTCTCACTGGGCTAAAATAAAGGTTTTGGCAGGTCTGCATTCTTCTGGAGGCTCTAGGAGAGAATCTGTTTCTTTGTCTTTTCCAGCTTCTAAAATCCACTTGCATTCCTTGGCTCTTGGCCCCTTCCTCCACCTTCAAAACCAGCAATGGCCAGTCGTCTTTCCCACACTATGTCACTGACTCTGACTTTCCTGCTGCCTTCTTTCACTTACTAGGAGCCTTGTGATTACTTTGGGCTCACCCAGAAAATCCAGGTGAATCTCCCCATCTCAAGTCCTTAGCTTAATCGCATATACACAGTCCCTTTTGCCATGTAAGGTGACATATTCACAGGTTCTGGGGATTAGGACATGGACACCTTTGGGACCATTATTTTGCCTGTCATAGAAGATAAATCAGTTCCATTCTATTGTATCACAAATTATCCCAAAACTTAGAGGCTTAAAACAATAAACATTTATTATCTCATGATATCTCAGAGCCAGGAATTCAGGAGTAGCTTAGCTGGATCATTCTGGTTCACAGTCTTTCTTGAGGTTGCTGTCAAGATTCAGCCAAGGCTTAACTAGACCTGGAGGATCCACTTCTAAGCTCACTCACATGGCTGTTGGCAGGAGGCCTCAGTTCCTTATCACATAGGCCCTTCCTTAGGGCAGCTTGAGTGTCCTCACAACATGGCAGTTGGTTCAAGAGAGAGATTCAAATGAATCAAGAGAGAGCAGAGAGGAGGCCTCAATGCCTTTTATGACCTAGTCTTGGAAGTCACACACCCTTGCTTCTGCCATTTTCTATTTATTAGAAGCAAATTCCTAAGTCCAACCCACACTCATGGGGAAGGGAATTAAGCTCCACCTCTTGAAGGAAGGAATATCAAAGAATTTGTGGACATATTTTTAAATCACCACAGAGGGAGTGCATGGAGTCTGCAGAGTGCCAGGTGTGTGCCAGGTACCACAACTAGATGGGGATGCAAAGGCAGAGTAAATGAGGAAGGAAAGTGGAAGAAGGGTCTGGAAAGATAGGTGGGGGCCACAGTTCCACATGCACAGGAAATAAAGACATTGCACAATCAAGGTTGCTCTCTAAGCATCTTTTGCACCTCAATAAATACCCAGTTGATTTGGAAGACCGTTCATATTTAAAATGACACAACAATTTAAGCGGAATGTTAGCCTTATAAAAGTAAGACTTACTTGTGAAATCTATGCCATAGTTCAAAAGACAATTTATTACAATTGTATTAAAGTATCCTATAATGAATGACCTCATGCTTGATATTGAGAGCTCCTTCTGAAGACAATACTGGCTTTACATAGTCCATCACTGAGCTTTGCCATTTCCTTAAAAAAAACCTTATTATTATGAACTTTTTATACATACACTAATGTGGAGAGAAAGTCCCTAGGTGGCACAAATGTTTGTGCTCCACTGCTAAACTATAGGATGGCAGTTGGAACCCACCCAGCAGCTCTGTTGAAGAAAGGCCTGGTGATTTGCTTTCGTTAAGATTACAGCCAAGAAAACCCTGTAACACATAGGGTGCCCATGAGTCGGAGTCGACTTGAGGGCAACTAACAACAACAACAATGTGGAGAGAATGATACTCTGAATTCTCATGTACCCATCACTCAGCTTCAACAGTTGTCAACACTGAGTTTCTTACCATTCATTTCTTCTGTCCTCTCCTGGAATTTTCATATCCAGATCAGATATGTGCTTTGGTCCTAGAAGAAACACCAATAGCTGTTGTTTCCAGAACAGATCATCTTAAATTGACTTCACAATTAACTTACAAAAAAGTAAATTGTTAACTGAAGGTTGATTGAATCCTGGTTAGCTAGTCTATCATAGAGCAGCGACATGGGCCCTTATCTCTATCCCTTTTGTTGACCCGGGTAACTGACCCAGGTTGCAGGTTGCCCAGAGATTACTGACCTGGGGAATGAGATCTCTACAGCTTCTGCCCTCATCTGGGCCTCAGTTTCCCTCATTTCTATAAAATGAGTGATTTTAGACTAAATGATTGTCATAGCTCTAAGACTCTGGTTTAGAAACATTGCCTATTACTGAGTGCAAACATGAAACCAGCAATTAACAAATTACCCAGGGCTCTGTTTAATTGTACTATAACTTCATTTTGGAAGGAAGTTTCCAAAGGCTTGGCTGCAGCTATCAGCCTCATTCTAGGGCCATTGGATTTGTCTTTGGCTGCTGTCCTAAAGTTACGTGATGACTTCATTGGGAACAAGAAATACATGGTAGAGATCCATCCTCACGTACTCCACACTCTGGAGGGGAGAATGTTGAATGAGACTATCTTTTTGAAACTTTGCCTCTGGCATAGAGACTGAAACCAATCCTACCACATCTAATTTTGAGCGTCATTCTAAGTATAAGGCAACACTGAAAAAGAGTTCAGGGGAAAAGGAAGCACTGTTGCACCCAGATGTGTGGCCATGGGTTTTTTGTTCTAAGACTGAGAATGCCCAGCCAGCACGGTATCCCTCATGGTAACAGTACAGGTGGAAGCAACATCAAAAGTGTCTCTTGCCCCTTTGTGATGGCTTCAGCACCACATCCTTTCTCTAGAGCCTTTGGAATTGAGATCACTGCTACTTACCACCTAGTCAGCAACTCTCACGCCTAGCTCCCCGCCCCTAAAAGTGATCATCAGACTTAAGGGAAATGGCAAGTGACTCATTGTCTTGCTGTTAGGCACCAGCGAGTCAATAGATGATTTTGAGCAAGGCAAGAATGCAGACATGGTACCCATCCTTATCTGCAACCCAGCTGATCCAGCTCTGAGTGCTGTGTCCCTCACCCTCACCTTCCCCACACTTCTAGAATGCAATTTGAATTCTTACATCTCTCTGGGTATCTCAGTCTGGTTCAGGAACCCTGAGGGGAATTAAGGACTCAATGGGTGAACTCTGGGTAACCCCTAGTTTCCATGCCTGGTGGTGTTGACTAGGGCATTCAGGGTTTCTAGATGCGCCAACTTTTCTCCTTCTCTTCTCCCTTGCCCCCAAATACACCCTGTGTTCCAGTAAGTGTTCCAAACAGAACTAATCCAATCTGCTGCCGTTATGACCCTATGAGTCAACTTCAAAACAAATGACCATTTTGACTGTTGTGGTAAAAACTAGGAACAAAAATGGACTTGTAGGGGAAGAGCGGGCAGAAGGGCGGCGTTGAATGCCGGGTCTCGGACGTCACATGGCTCTTCTTTGTGTTCACAGCCCAGCCAGTTCTGTATTGGTGTGCCCGCAACATGTCCTTCTGGAGCAGCATTTCCTTTAACCTGGCCGTCCTGATGAATTTGCTGGTGGCGTTTTTCTACCCATTTAAAGGAGTCCGAGGAGGTACCCATATCTTTTATTTCAAGGAAACTATTAGAAGCAATGGAGTCCCTGGGTGGCATAAACGGTTAAGCGCTTGGCTGCTAACTGAAAGGTTGGTGGTTTGAACTCACCCAAAGGCACCTCAGAAGGCCTGGTGATCTACTTCTCAAAAATCAGCCATTGAAAACCCTGTGAAGCACAGTTTTACTCTGATACACATGGGATCACCATGAGTCAGAATCAACTTGATGGCAACTGTTTTTTGTTTTGTTTTGTTTTATTAGAAGTAACAGGTAGGACAATAACGCCTGTCATAATTAGCGCAATATTTAGGATCCCAGTTACTCATTTTCAAACACAATGAAAGTTTTAAGTTAGTTTTAAATCTAATACATTTTATGTCCATATTTATTTCCCAGGAAAGAAAGAGAAGAAACTATACACTACTAAACCTGTCAGAAATAATCTTGGTCAATCCCCTTATTTTATACATTGGGAAACTGTCTCAGAGAGGTTGAGAGAGTTGGCCAAAGTTGTACAGCTAGTGCAGAGCTAACCCTAGAACGTTGGTATTTTGACACTCAGTCCAGTAGATTTTTTTCCACATCATACTTTTGGAATTGATTTCAGACTGAAGAATTAGTAAGAAATCTCTGAAATTTTTTCTTTTGTGAAGAGCAGGGCGAGGCAGGACTTGAATGACGGCAGACTGTGCACCCGTGAATGTTTAGTCTGTTAGGAGGAGTTGCATGCCATTGTTCATAAAATAAAACATTATGTCCACGGTCTTTATGGTCCTCCCCCCACCCCCCCACCCCCTCAGTCAGCTGTATAAGCATTCTCCGTATTGTGCTGGGAAGAGGCAAACAATTGAGAAGGGGCATTTTTCTATCTCAGGGCCCTCGATTGGCTTAATGACATTCTAAAGGCATTCACACTCTTGAGTTTCTGGTGGCAGACCTTGAAAGCTCCGCCCCCCCCCCGATACCCACCAAAGCCTTCTGGGAGGTCTACTTTTCAGCTAAATTTTTCATCAGAGCTTTTTAGCAGATCACCTCACACATTTATATAAAAACCTACCAGGAGCCATCTTGTGTGGAATATAATGGGAGAAAGAGCCCAAAAGTAAAATACAAAAACAATACAGGAGTAAGTTTTAGGCTCAGCTCTTGATGACTCAAGCAGCATGTGTATATGTAATAAAAGTACATTTAAAGGATGACTTGAAACTGAAGACATCTTAGGTTATGCTTCTAACTGAGGTGCCTGGGTAGTACAAACGGTGTGCAGTCGGCTGCTAACCTAAAGGTTGGTAGTTTGAACCCACCCAGCGGCACCACAGAAGAAAGGCCGGTGATCTGCTTCCTTAAAGATTACAGCCAGGAAACCCTATAGAGCAGTTTTACTCTGTAACATACGGGGTCGCCATGAGTCAGAGTCGACTCAATGGCAACAGGTTTGATTTGGTATTATACATTTAGCTTACACATTTGAGGAGTTAGAGAGCTTTTC